AGAGGGGAATTTATTCCAAGCGTAAAACTCAGCCCACTCCAACATCTAACACGATTCCAGCAGCCAACCGGTGTAACGAGAATCCTGAACCAACCACCCCCTCTTGCTCCCCTTTCCCTCCCACCCTTTTCGATGGAAACGCCAAGCCCCTCTTTGTGGTTTATGTCTTTCTCACTTTTGCACACGCGCGCATATCTTCTATCCTATATTTATCTATCTATATCTATCCTTGTTCAATTGCAAACACTCACACACATACATATATAAATAATATCTCACCCTGTTAATGTGGCATGCAAGTTACAATATTATCTATCTATCTATCTATCTATCTTTGTTCAATTGCAAACACCTACACCTAGACATAGACGCGTATTTCATCCCTGGTAATGTGCGTGGCATTGGTGCAGATGCAGCACCAAGTTGTAATATTATCTATCTATCTTTGTTCTATTGGAAACATTTACACATATACACACATAGACACGTATAAGTTAGACAATCTATCTCACTCAGTTCTCTGACAATATGGCTGACGTTGGGTGTGCACAACTCAGCAACGTTGCGATATAATATGGAAACATTTATACACAGAAGCATAATGCTGAGAAATGTTGTTGCCGGTTTGCGTAATCCTCCCTCGAGAAAGGGACAAAGTTGTTTCTTTCTCTCTCACTCACTCTTTCTATATAAATCTGTGTATGTGTAGGTGTTGGTTAGAGAAAGATAGAAAGGGTTCCAACGTCAGCAAATTTCTCTAGCCAGTGGTGGGTTCCTGTGTTATTATTGGTGTGTTACTGGTACTGGTACTGGTTCTGGTGGTGGTGATGGTGTTGCTACTGCTGGTGGAAACTCGTCTCGCGGATTTTCCGTTTGTTATTTTAATTAGAGCCTTCGGGGCCCCTCTTAACGAGAACCCTGTCTGTCTCTCTCTCACTTTCTCTGACAATTTGTCTCTTTTCATTCTAGTATTTCTGCAACGTCGTTGTTTCGTCTCGGATTTATTTTCCTCGCCTTTATTCCTACAGGATGACGAGTAAATTGTTGAAGAAGATGATGTGAAGCAGATGAGAGAAGAAGATGAGAATAATTTTTCTAAGAGAAAGAGAGAGAGAGAGAGAGGATTATTATTTACGTGAAAAATCTTTTAAGTATCTTTTCGTTTTATTAACAAATAAAAATTTATTATCTCTAACTTTTGACTCACTCTTTCTCTCTTTTACCCCTTCAACCCTTTAGTTAACCCTTTCCAGTATTTTAGATATTTTTTTTTGTTCGTTTTATATTTTATTTTATTTTATTCGTTATTCGAGAACATTTTTACAACTCATAAGCCGAAGTTGATACAAACCGGAACCAACTTCTTAAGGGATTGATTACTATTATTTTTATTTTTGTTTTATTTATATTTGGTGAAAGATAAGAGATTGAATCTTTTCTTTAACCCTTTCCTTTTGTATTTCTCGTATCAGTTTTTATTTACTTAAGTAAAAATATACGAGTATATATTTTTCTTTCCCTTCAAATCTAAGAAGGAATGTTTTTGTTTTACTTTTACCGTTCTTCTTCTTCTTCTTCTTCTTCTTCTTCTTCTTCTTCTTCTTCTTCTGTTACTTTTTTACTTTAACTTTCTCTTCCGTGATATTTTTTGTTCTATTTTTTTAATACAATATCTCCTATACTTCGTATTTTCTAAAGAGTAAGTTTGAACACACATACACAAATACTTTCGTTGACTTTCTTTCATCCGTTTCATCTTTGATTTCATTCTTTACACATTTTTTAAAATTATTTTTTAAGAATAATACGAAAGGGTTAACAGAATTTTTATATATATTTATATATATATCTTCTTTTCTATTTCACTGGTTTTTTTACTTTTACCCCTTTTTTATTCCCACAATTACTTTCTTTTCCTAATCCATATCCCTGCTAGTAGAGAAAGGGTTAAAGGATTGTAAAAGACAATTTTATTACTATTAATAAAAATTTTGCACCTAATATATAATATATATGTGTTCCATAAAAAATTCCAATCCCTTAACCCTTTTCTTTAGGAATTTAACCTTTCTAGTTTGTTTTCTTCCTAAATTCTTCCTCTTCCTCTTCATTCTATTTTATTGGCTCCCTTTTTTTTAATAACCTAAAAAAAAAAAAATAGAATTTACGGCAACAAATCAAAGTCAAATAGTTCAAGGATCAATTCCTGTGTTTTTTTCTTCTTTCTTCTTCTTTTCTTCAAATCATTTGAATGAGATATTATTTATTTGTCATTTTAGATATAAAAAAAATAAAGCGTGCTCCTTTTTTTCTGTATCACCTTTTAAAAGTCACAAATCCTTTTGTTAAACATTTGAGACCAGCCCGCCGCCCTTCACTTTTTCTTTGTCGTTGATACTTTCTTTTTTATTCGGTCAGTGTCAGAGAAAAATAAAAAAATAAATAACAGAAAGATAGTTGAAAAAACTCGAAAGTAGCAACTTTTTATGGAACATTTTGAACCCCGTCAAAAAGGACAGCCCTTGAGAGGAGGTGTATGTGTGCGTGTGTGCGTTTTTTAACCCTTTGAGTGCTGTATATTTTTATCTAAAATACCTACAATGTTTTCTAGGAATGGAATAATATATTATTAACTAAATTCTAATAATAAATTATATTTAATAATTAATGTTTTGGTTTATAAATATAATTGAATTAAATTAATAGAAAAATTACATTATATTATTAACAAATATAAATATATGTGTCAAATGACCACTCTAGTTATTTTTATCAAACGCATATATGCGTTCATAGCATTCAAAGGGTTAATTGTGGTATGCGTATCATATAAAAATACAATTTTTTGTTGTCTTTTTCTTTTTTACAAAATTCTTCATAAAGTTATATTACAAAAACGTGCTTACAACTATTGTTTGTTAGTTTTTGATAGAAATATAAAAAAAGAAAGAGTTAAAGAGTTGACTCACGAGGTTTTCTCTTTTCTATCAAATTTTTCTGTTGCATCTACTTTGGTGTCCTCTGATTCATTCTTTTCTTTTCTTTTCTTGTATTTGTTTTTTACTATCAACGAAAAAAAAGACAGAAAGGGTTAAAAAGTAATGTTACTTTTTTTTTCTTTTTTACAACTCGTCTCAATCATCCAGAACAGTTTCCTTCAACCCTTTTTTTGCTTTCCTTTTACTCTTTCGTTTCGTGACTGTACTTCTAAAAAAATTCTTATATATTCTTGTAAAAAATGTTAAACCATTCAACGATTCTTAGAACTTTTGTACTCGTATTTTTATTCAGTTTTGAAGTTAAGTATTTTTAGAAGACATACTTTTGTGTGTGTGATCTATATTTATAATATAATAAGAATTGTATGAGAATTATAATAATAACCAATAAAAATGGTTGTCAACAACAGTACAAACCTTTTATAACAAATATCATTTAATTGCAATAATTTAGAACATTGTTCCTCAACATTTCTAAAAGTATAAAAGCCTAAACTAAACCCCAATAAAACAGCAATCCCCAAACAAACTCAGGAAGCATCTAATCAAGCGAGCAACTAAAACAAAAAAAAAAGAAAGAATTTAAGTTGAGTATTTTTATAAGAAACACTTTTGATCTCAATATTTATAATAAAATAAGAATTATATGTGAACTACAATTAACCTCAACATTTCTAAAAGTATAAAAGCCTAAACTAAACCCCAATAAAACAGCAACCCCTAAACAAAACTCAGGAAGCATCTAATCAAGCGAGCAACTAAAAAAAAAAGAAGAAGAAAAGAAAGGAAGAAAGGAAGAAATAAAGAAGAAAAATAGGAGCCAACAAACTTGACTGACGGGGTCTGTCTCTGGAGTATATGGACCCGGGCCAATATTGATAAAATAAGGCGGTGGAATATTTTGAAATCGGATATTTTAATTTGTAAATAGAGTAGATTATACCGATTTTATTTCCATTGTGGTAGCGGCGGCAAGCAATTTTACAAAGGGGTTTTTCTTCTCTCTCTTTTTATCTAACCCATAAGAGAAAAATTGTGAGTTTCTTAATGACCCACCACCCGGATGTGGATGGCTCCACCTAATAGTGTCGTATTCGATTCCAAAAGAAACCCCACTCTTCATCCACCTCCTTCTTCTTCTTCTTCTTCTACCTCGAATCTCTTAACCCCTAACTTCCCCCATCCCCCGATTACCCATTTCTCAAAGTAATACCGCCGATTCTTCGTTTCATGTTAGAAGCACTGAATTTTTCCACAACCTGGTATATCATATTACAATTCTTTCTTTATTTCTTTTTCCTCAAATATAATTCGATTTAATTCGAGAGTACTTTCCCTTCTAATCCTTCCAAGGGTTGTATTTTCTTTTTTTCTTTTTGCTTTTCTCTGTTAACAAACCATTTCCCTTTCCTGTCTTTTCTATTTCTTTTTGTGCCTGTTTCATTGCACCTCAATTTTCTAGTTTTGTTTTTTTGGTTTTGTGGTACTAAAAAAAGTTCTTTCTTTTTCAAAATTATAATAAATAAAATTCTAGGGATAAACTTTAGAGAGTTTTAAATTTTTTGAACTATTACTTTGATCTAAATATTAAAACCGACTGGTAAAATATGTGCTGCCATCTAAAGGTACTACTATTACTTCATCTTACCGACTGGTAAGACATTTATCGTCACCTAACGGTAATAAATAATTAATGACTATAACTTTATCTTACCTACCGGTAAAGTACCGCTAGATGGCGGCACATATTTTACTGTCGATAATAAAATACAGAGTTCCCAATATATTTTTCGTAAATAATTAAAAATAAACGCGCAACATAAATCATTTTTAATATGATAAAAATAAATGTATCTTAACAGCATTATAATATTTGTTTCTTCCTCAAACAAGATTATTATTCTACCTCTATACACATATTATTGTCTAGATTATTTTTTGTCACTGCAGTTGCATTCTATTCGCATCAAAGGTTCAAATTGAGACAGAGACTAATAATAATTATACTTGCAGGATATTTTTCTTCTTTATTTGGAACCATATTATTTATCTTTGGGAGCATAAGAATTCAAAAATACCCAAAATAAAGACAACCCTAAAATGTATGTACACAGGTACATAGTACAATATTAATTATTGAACAATAATAATAACAATAAAAGATAATGCGCTTTCAAATAATTATATTAACTTTCAATTAATAGAATCGATTTGTTTCTAACAATACAAAAGTGTAACATTTCATTTCTCTATTAAAACTTTCTTTACACTTGGCAACAGTTATCTTAAAGATCATTGATATAATATCAAAATAAATTCTTTACTCAAAACAGATTGTTAAGTAGCAGTATTAAATGTATAATATATAAAAAAATATATATAAAATTATTATTAGAAAATGCACCCTTTTTTGATAATCGGTAAACGATAAATTTTAATTTATATAAATGTTTTCTCTTTATTCTTTTTTTAGCTGCACAGATCCAACGAAATAATAATAATCAGTGTATGCATCATCTATACTTCGATAACTTAATAATAAAACATATTAAATTATATTAACAAATGAATTGGTCGTAATATTAACAATTATAAATGCTTTAAAAACGAACTTAATAAATACTGTCTTTGGACATGCCCGTGATATTACCAAAAGCCCTTAAATATATATATATATAAAGAAAAAGAAAATATTTCCTAAAGTTTTAAATAAAAAAATGTTAGTAATAAGGGACACCAACAAACTGTGCAGCTAAACTATGACAATGTACAAAGTGTATCGTAATATCTTGCATGTTGTGTTTCCAAGTTAATTTCATAACTTTGTTGTTATATTTCAAAACAAATGATAAACCATAACTTTTTAGTGCAAATCAAATTTAGTATACGTATTTACATCGACTTATTTTCGTTGTTTTATAGTTTATCTTTTTTTTTTTTTACATACATTCTGGAAATAAAATTACACACGTCTATTAGAATACACCTTATACGAGATATTATTCCCGTTTAAAAATATAAACGATTTAAAAGTAATCATCAACCTTGAGGAATATGCTACAAGCATAAAAAGTACTAAAGAAATACAATCTACTTGATGCAATGAAATAAAACGTTGAACATCTTTAATAAGCGAATCGCAATTTGCTATCGTATCCTAATTTGTCAAGATTGGGATTACAAGCTATATTTATCATTGGTACAGGACCGCACATTAATACAATTGTATCGGGTGATGGTGGGAACATATGTTCTTTGATCATATCTGCATTAATATGTCCTGTACTGTAACTCCAATCTTCACTGGCTGTATCTACCGTATACCATACTTTAAATTGATTTTCAAAATCTCTGGCCAATGTATCCAATTCGTCTCTCAACAATATATCATTCTCCGTTTGGTTTGCGTACAGTAAAGATACATCGGTACCATCCATCGGTCCATTTAATATAGCTTTGATTAACTGCAACATTGGCGTTATACCAGTTCCACCGGCTAACATGACAATCTAGAAAAAATAAAATATAATTATATGAAATTATCCTTCTTAAAGTTGTATCAGTAAGACTATAAAAAGTTTAAATAAAAACCTTTTTGACATCGTAATCAATTGGTGGATCTTTCCTGAGAAGTTTGATAGAGAATTTTCCACATCCTTTGTAAACGAGTCGACCTGAGGGACCTCTGATGTCTATGGTATCACCGAGCTTCATATTTTCCAAATACTGAGACATTTTACCACCTTCTGGGAATTTAGGATGCACGTTTTTAAAGTAGACCTATAAAATAAAGATAAGACAAATATTTTCTAAATAATAAACGATTTACAAGAATGATGAAATTACCTTAATGACAAGATCGAAGTATCCATGATCTTCCTCATCAGAGGAAACAGGAGTGTAGGAACGTATGACGATTTGATCATCAATCTTAGTATTCAGATGTATATGTTGACCGATTGGAAGACCAAGAACATGATCTTTCGTAGGTAAACCAAATCTAAACTTTCTAGTATCGTGACTTAAAATTTCTTTCTCTATCAATGGTACGCTGTATTTAACAACTGAATCTTCCAATAGTACTGGAGGTTTTTTATTCTTCTTAGATTGTTCAGTTCTAGATATATAAAACTTAATAGCAAAAGTGATAGCAACTATGGTTCCCACCGTAGCCAATACTGGTAACATCTAAAATAAAACAAGAAAAGCAATGATTAAATATTTGTCTAATAAATTAATTAAGAACCAATTAGTTAATATTTTAAATAGATGATCAATAATTCTAATAATTTCAGGGTTACGTCAGAGTTATGCATTGATACTAAAAATATCTAAATATTTAATTACAAGTATTTTTGCTTCTATTACACATAGTTATTTTATTTTATTCAAATATTTAATAAATCTATAAATTATATCTTATCTATATATATATAAATAAAACAAGATATAAAAAAAACTACTGTGCCATCATTGATTTCCGCGTTAGGCACAACCTCTTTATCATTCCAACTTTCTAATTTGAAAAAAATGATTCTTAAAATAAATAATCTATCAAACATTTCAATCAATAATTAAATCCAACATTGTAGTCTCATTTGAACTACAATTTGATATAAATCATTGTAAAAAGAAGTTATAGATATTGAAATAAGAATATTCTACAATCGTATAACTTACCAATGAACGCAATGCCGACATAGTGATTCACCGTTGCACGTGGTAAATGCACTTGTTAAAAAGCTAGACGACGAAGTGTGTAATAAAATTGTAACGATCGAGACTAAGGTCAAGATAGAAGAGAATATGTTTCTCGTTAAACGAAAGATTTTCTAATGGTGAACAGATAGAAATATATATATATATATATATATATATATATATATATATATATATATATATATATATATATATANATATATATATATACGTACATATATACGTATATGATATATATTATATATATAAATATATATATATGATAAAAGTGGAAATAAAAGAAAATATGTATTATTAGGATAAAATGGTTAAACGTCTATCTCCTTAGGTGAAGAATAGAGAATAGAAGGAATTCTAAATTTTAGTAGTAAGTATTATATATCGTATATATACGTCTTAAAGTTAAACGAAGACAGACAAAGTAATACCCACTATGTAGTAAGTATATATATAATGAGTGAGTAAGTAAGATAGTGTGAGAAAGAAAAGGAGAGCGCGTGTTGTGTGCAAGTGAGAAATAATGCAAGTAAATGAGAGAGAGAGAGAGAGAGAGAAAGAAAGAAATAACGAGAGTGAGAGAAGTGTAGAAAGACAAGTAGAAATTTCTAATACGTGAATAGTCGACACGAAGGGTCAAAACGGGGCGCTAACCCTTTAAAATAGAATCCGTTAGCCTCAATCTAAGAACAGTTGTCTATGCCGGCCATTATTTATAGATCAGGATTAGTATGTGCACGCGCGAATTTTAAATGATTCCTTTATTGTATTATTTTCTTTTTTTGTTCTCTCTTTCTCTCTCTTTCTCTTTCTTTCTTTATTTCTTTCTTTCATTCTTATACTATTATTTGATTCTAAACTACACACCTGAACCCAGTTTGGCGCGGTAAAAACTTTTTGAGTTTCTTCAATCGTCATGATAGTTAAGTAACTTGTTATTCAAGATTATAACTAAAGTAAGTAATATTCTTATTAATTACGCAATAATGGTATGATGTAAGATGTTGTATTACGAAACTAACATGGGGGTTATTATTTTATAGGAGGTCAAAGTATTACGCGTCTTGTTGACGCCATGTTGAATAGATGGTGCTATGTAAAAATAGCGCGAATCTTCTTTTTTGAATTTTTAAGTAATTTTATTTCGCGATTAATTGATCGATATCATTATATTGATTATATTACCATACAATAAAATTGTATAAGAACTGATTTATTTTGTAATTCATTATTGTATTTTAATTATATTTAAATGTAGTTAATTTATGGATATTTTATTAGCAACAGGTTATGTTAATTTATTTATGTTAATTCATGTATTACCGGCAAAACATTTATTGATTCTAATTTTTCTTTATGGGTATCACCTTGATCTTAAAATATTCTATTTTTATTTCTAAAATTATACATTACTTATTTTATATGTAAATTTATTCATCCACATAAGCATACTTTTTTTACAAATACTATAGCAACAACTTGTAACACGTCAATTCCTATAGATTTATTAGTTATATGTATTTATTATTAAATTTCACGTGCACTCGCGTATTTACGCGTACTTATATATCTTTTATTTTATTTTCAAATACTAATGGCACAATTAATTGCGACATCAATTTGTCAACTAATTGTATATATATATATATATATATATATATATATATATATATATATATATATATATATTCAATAATTTATTTTATAATGGTTTACCTCTTTCAATTCTGTTTCTTTGTCTGTATCCATTTCTCCCGTATAAAAAAGAATATGAAAATTTGTAGTTATCGTAGATTAAATTTAAATTATAGAAAGGAAAATATTTATATAGTTCAATGAATGAGGCGTAGCAGCATCCGCTGATCAGTCCATTGAATAACTGATTGAAAAGAAAGAATAAAATTTCTCGATTAGCAAAACTGATGATTCATCTAACGAGTGTCCTTTCTATATTAGTTTTTTTATCATCAATTCATGATAGAAAATTTAATAAACACCTAATTTGTAAATTAATATAATTCTTATTTGTAATTTTTGTTATTAGATTATATTTAAAAGTAAAAATATGATAAAAAGTACATTTCAGTTTTACAAAATATATAAACTATTCTATAAATAAGTACTATATATTAATATAAAAAGAATTTTTTTAAATAAGTTTTATAATATTAATTAAAAATTTGTATATGAAATTATTTGATTTTTCGTTATTCAAACTTCGCGGCATTTTTTGCGAGGAAGCAGCGACATCTGGTAAATTTTTAATGAATCATCCAAATTTGTCGATAGATCGCGCTTCTATCGTCGAAAATTAAAGGGAAAGATAATTAAAATAATGTTGGTTACTTTATCTAATGTTTTTTCTAATTTATGTCTAATGGAATTCGAATAATGAACGTTTAATTTTCTTTTCTATATATATGTACATATATATGTATATATATGTGTATACGTTGTTCAATTTCTTTAGCAAATAGTTGATATAAAAAATAGTTTAAATGCCGCTGATACACCGTGCGTTATTTACATGGTTTTTTTTGTTAATATTTTTGGTATTACTCGTTTTAAGACTTGATCAAAGAATACAATGGTATTGGTATGCAGTGCTTATTCCTATGTGGATTTATGATTTTATAATATTAATTTATATTATTTTTAATATGGTCTCCTATTGCAAAAATGGAAGAGTTACTAGTTTGCGTAGAGAAGTATGTTCATTTTTGATTTATATTTAAAATGTCTACGTTATTGTATATTTCATTAAAATATTATATCAAAAACTTGATTATAATTTTATTACTTTGTTTCAGATTTGGTATATGACTGCATTACTTTTGAAAGTAAGCGCACAACTATTAATTTCTTTAAAGTTAGATAATAGTTGGCAACTTTCTGCCAAAGTATTCTTAGCACCTTATTGGTTGCTTTTCCCAATTCTTGCAGTGGATGTTTTCATTCATTTAATTAAACACTGCAGATACTGACAATAACCGGACTTTGATTTGGGTTTCATCACTGTTTTATAAAATGTAAGTTAAGTAGATGCATATAGAATAATTTATCTGGAAAAAATTGTTTTTCTCTTTATGGAATTGTATGTTTACGTTAATGTGGACCTTAGATGTTAAACTTGAACTCAAATATTATAAAATTTAATACGATAATATAAAAAAAAATATATATATATATATATATATATATATATATATGTATAGCGAAAGAGAGAGCGTTGAAATGTTGTGATCACAAGATGCCATCTGGTATCCTATAAATACTCTCTCTATTACACAAGGATAGGTATAACGCAGTTATAAATAAGTAACTTGGTGGCAATCTTCATAGTAGAATCTTTGAAAGTTATCAAGTTGGAACATAATCATTCTTTCAAAGTATTTGTTTAGATATTTAAGATACTCTTCTCTGTGCTTACATTATCAAAGAAAGACAATTCATTGTGTTAGATATATAAAAAAAATGGTGAGAAATTGTATATATAAAAAGTAGAAATAATAAAAAAAATAATCCTTGAGTTGTTATGTAATATAGTTTTATTGATAAAAAAGTATTTTGCTTAGTGTTACACACGGATTAATTATTCTTCTACTTGTCTGAATAATGCAAACTGGTTTTACTGTCTGAAAGTTCTGGCAATGAAGGTGATCAATGTAATTAGAGTGTAATTGCTCCATTGCCATGGAAATTCTATTAATATCATAGCATAGATATTATTGTAATGTTAGTGCAGTTATAACGTGTAATGTAACATCATCGTTTTGCTGTTTTACTTCTATCTTTTTTACTGTTACTTGTAATATAAAATTGTTAAGTGTTGTTTTATTGAATCTAACAATTTGTTCATACCTGTAGAAAAATTATTTGAAATAATTGTTTAATATATTATTTTTCTTTTAGGTGGCAATGCAAATACTTTTACTATTCTATTTATCCATGGTTTTACATAAAAAAGATGTCGCCAATGCTATGGTTACAGTCGAAGAAGTTGCCGTTGGTCATTTAGCTCAACTTCCATGTCAAAGTAACGATGATCAACATCGATTTATGTTTTGGCAGCTTACCGATGACAGTCGTATTATCGGTCCTGGAAATCCTATCGATGTTAATAAATATAATTATGAAGTATTAACCGGTACACTTTATATCAGGGTAATTATTATCATTTATTTTTCTTTCATATATATTAAATATTTAATTAACTTAAAGAAAATATGAATTTATCGATAGGGAGTATCAACTGCAGAAGCTGGTTTTTATAAATGTATTTCCAGAGGTTTAAACGATCATTCTTCAGTTAATGTTCATGTCGTTGAATTAATAGTTAAGAAAAATTGGGAAGACGTTTGGGAAAATGATTTTGAGGTAATTTTCAAATACATCATTAATTTAGAACTCGATAATGATTTTTTTGTTTAATTATCATAGACAAATTTGTTGAGAGGAATGGCTGCGGTAATGGTAGTGGTTGTAGCTATCGCTGTTATCCTTCTAATCGTAATAGTCAAACGAAAAAGGAATCAAGGATTTTTTGGTAATATTTACTATCTCATAAAATAATATACTACGCGTTCTTCGTAAACGTTTTTTATTTTATACGAATGATTTGATATCAAAGATTTTTCTAGATTTGGATGAATCAAGAGATAATTCACCAGAAAGATTTAGAGGAAATATTATAAACACTTCTGCAGCTGTACCGGCACAAGGAATAGTAAACATGAGTGAAGATGGAGGAATAGAAAATCCTACTCTTGACATAGATTTTCCCAAGGTATTTAATCAAATGCAGAAAGACCAAGGATTACCTTAATGAATTTACCTGACAATTATATTTTTTTTAAAGTTAACATCAAAGAAACGAAATAGACTTAAAGAGAAACGCGTTTTAAACAATCGCACAGTATTACAATTCATACTGTTAAAATTTTAAGAGAAAATAGTAATTTATATATAAATTATGACAGAATTTTGCAATGCAACCCGTTTTATTGTATATACAAAAAATAAATCCTTTTATTAATTTTAGATTTTAAATTCTTCTTGTAATATCTTCAATCATCAATTATATTTCTATATACATATATTATTTATCTGTACAAAATATTTTTAATGATAAGAATGACAGTTTTTTTTTTTTTTAATGATACGTACGAACACAAATATAGACGAATATTTTTGTTATATTAAGTAGTTGTATTTAAACTCGGTGTTATATCCATCATATTATCATCAATTCCATCCTCATCTTCATCGTCTTCATCTTCTGGTTCTACTTCCATTTCAAGTAATCTTATTTTTCTATTATTCTCGTTAAGAATTGCTGCTACTTTTCGAGCACCGCTAACAGCCAATCGTCTTGCAGAAAAACCTTGAAATGATTTTGGCCAAAAAGCACCCATAAGATCAGTTAAACATACCATAGATTGACTTTGATGATCCAACAATTTGACATGACTTGTTGGTAATTGTAAAAGAGTTGAAATATAATTTTGTTTGTTCAATAAAAGAAGACTAAGATAATCTTGAGAGTAGAACTGTAAATCAGCAATAGCATTGTCAATGGAACTTTTTGTAAAAGATCCTATAAAGAAAAAAAAAGAAATATTTTAACAACCATCGTTAAGTTAAACAAAAAATATATATATATAAATATTACTACGAAAATTTAGAACAAACCTTGTTTGTTATCAACATCAATCATAGCGGATTTGAATGATAGAGAAACGGATGACGTATTTGTGAGCAACGTTTCGATTTGATATAGTCGTAAACATTTACGTTCGACGTCAGAACTTGCTATTAATAAATGACCATCGCTCGTAACTATTTGAGAAGATAATACGCTTGTCGTAGGAACCAAAGATGTTTGTAATACTGTGAAATGATTAACCAAATCCTCATAGGCAACTGAGAATACGTCGTGTATAGCATTGACTAATTTTTCATGAGATTGTAATAAAGAAAAATTTAAATCTTGTTTCATTATAAGCGGATGATCACGAAGACAATGATTCTCGTTTAACATAGACGCCCATTCACTTCCTTCAGGTGTTAAGCAAGCTTGTAAAGGCTCGTGTCTTAAATATTGTCCTAACTTTTCTAAATTAACACCTTTCCTACTACCAGTGCTTGGTTCAATTTTATCAAATCCTTTGAGAAATTCAGCGATGAACGTTAATTCCTGTTGACTCATACGACTCACTTCTGATGCTATTCTTTCATCGGTTAATCTTTGAATCTCGACGTATAACCATCTTAAACAATACAACGAATTAATTATAATGAGAAATGTTAATTGTGAAAGAAAGAATTAATGAGAAGATTTACCTAAAAAATGCTTTATAATCTCGCATGCTATGATCAATAACTTGTTTCATTTCTGAAGCCTTGGCTAAGAAAGCTTCAGATGCGTGAAGGGCTTTCGTTATGAGACTTTCATTCTTAAGACCGAGAGATTCATAAGGTCCACCTAATCTCACCATACCACGGATTTCAGCTAATTGATAAACCAATGCCATTCCGACACTGTTCAAATTTTTCACTACTAATTTCTGTACAAAATCATCAATTATATATCGTTTAAGTTAATTTTCATTTCATTTCATTTCATTTCATTTGTTTAATAAATATTTGTAAACCTGTATATTGCTGTAGCACATTTCTATACTGTGACCTAACTTTTTCAGACCTTTCTCGGTCAGATCACGCAATAGAAAGTTTTCTAAATTTTGTGTTGGTATGCCGATCATCAATAATTCTAAAAAATCTGCTGCTACTGCACCAGGCGGATTGCTTTCAGCATATCGAGCAAGTTTATCATCCATCTCTGAAATAATCGTCTCCCAAGCTTCAGAAATAGCCATTAATGTACGCGAGAGATAATCCATCAAACATTCTATGTTCGCTTGCGCTTGAGCTACCTAATAGATAAATAAATAAAGTAATGTATTTTCTAATCGTAAATGATACAAGATAAATAAATCTTTATTATTACCTTTAAAAATGCAGAACTTTTTTCAAGTAATGGACAAGAATATCTGTTAACAACAATACCGTTGTTATCTTTCCAAGTAATCCAAATAGGTTTACCTGATCCTCCACTGATTTCAATAATCGTACCATTTCCCACAAATATATTTCCACAATAAAACATTCCAAAGACGTACATCATTACTGTTCCATTATCTTTACCAAGCTAATTAAAACATTTATATATAAAATCTTCCTTGTATTAAAACTGTTGAATCATTTGAGTCGCAAGAGTCTTTAAAAAAGTTGTGAAAAACTTACGAATAAAATATCCAAAGTTTGCGAAAGAAGTTCCTTGCGTTCTGACTCTTGACCAATGTTACGATTTAAACTAGGCAATGATGGAAGATAATTACCAGTAGAAGAAACGTTACTTTTATTACTGATAAAGTTATCACACTCTGTATTCATCAATGGCAACCATGTTATACTTGTAATAGAATTCTGAATTGACAACTGTACTTTGTATATAATATTCTTATTCTCTATGTCAACGAGACAGAAAAGTTTGGAACATTCGTAACAAACAGCTAATAATTTACCATCCGGTCTCCATGTTAAGTTTACAGATGTGTCAGATTCATTTTGTGGACTCAATAACCATACTCTTTGCCAAGTTAATCTGTGCAATGCAACTTCACCTAAAACAATCTTTACACATAACCTATCCATTTTATTGTCTTTATTATTTTAATAATTATTTTATAAAATAATTTATTATAATAAAATTAAATCTTAACCTTTAACATTGGCAACTGCTAACAAATCCATTTTAGGTGACCATTTTATTATAGTAATTTCTGTTGGAAGTTGACGTTCTTCCAATTGTCTCATTGCCGACATTTTGTTATTAATTTTTTAATAATAATTCTACAATTGATATATCAAATAATCATAATAATGAAGTTTCAATTATGTTTCATATAACCTAAAATTCACATGACAGTTTGTTATTGTTTGACAATGTTACCAACATATATTATGATTCTTAAAAATAATTTTGTAAAGTAAGTTGGTAACAGTGATCGATAAACGATTAGTGGAATCGATTTAAATCGGTTAATTGTTTACATTTACTTAAATGGAAAAAGAATTTGAATATTTCATTATTTAAAATTATGTTTAATTATTATTGTTATATAAAAGATGTGAAAATGAGTCAAAATTAATGTATACATATATTTTTATATTATATATTATATATTATATATTATTAGAAATAATTAAAAAAAAAATGTTTATTGATTTGTATAAAAAGAAAATGTCGTATTACATTAGTGTCAAGTAAATTTATGTAAATTAGTTACAATTCAAAAGTATGTATACATATTCACATATATATTTGAAAGAAAGGAATGCGCGCAATAAAGAAACAAGTAACAAACGTTCTTGCCAAAAGTAATTCAAAATGAATGTCAACAATGAAATGCGGAAGAGAGTGTGGTGTTTGAAATTTGAAATATAAATTCGTATTGAATTTTGAGTTGAGAGAAACATTAAAAGAGGAGTATAATATTCATGACAAATATTACATGCGAATTATACACGTTTAATAATTATAATTGTAATAAAATTATAACATTTATAATGATAAAAACTTAATGAAAGTTATTAATTAAAATGTTGTATTACATCGTCATCTGCTGTTATATGTTTTTAGAACCGAATAGGAAAAACTGTTTGAATATCGATACTAACATAAGTGTAACCGGAATAGAACATTTTAAAGTAGGTCATCAGGAGTGTAGTTGTAATTGGAGCAAATACTTTCAGTATTAGATCTCGTCATAAAGAATTTCAATTGTCCTACATTGTAAACTTTCAATACTATCATAATTTTATAACTATATTATTTAATATATTTATATTTTACATTAAAATATTATGTATTACATACGTCTACATTTATATTACAGCATAATAAGTAAAAGAGAAATGGATAGAATAGTTTGTAATGAAATTTATTGGATACCAAAATGGCTGCCAATTCCAGCAGGTACAAGTGGAATAAAAAAAGAATAAATTAAAATATTTACAATAAAATATGGATTGTTTAAAAAGAGTAATTAGTATGAATAGGCATATGCTTGTTACTGATACATTGTATGTACCATTGTTCGTTAAAACTACAACAATAATAATAATAATAACTAATAATAATATTTGGCTTGTTGCAACAGGTATATGTTAAATGATAAAGAGAAAGATAGATATAAAATGATAGTGGGGATAAAAAGGCAAAGAAGAATCACGTGACCCAGCCGATCATCAGCAGAATCCGCGGCGTCCGCCGAAAATCTAAATTCGTCTGAGCCGAGAAGAAGAGGAAGAAGAAGAAGAAGAAGAAGAAGAAGAAGAAGAACCGTCTCTTCACCGGGTCTCACATCAGTACTCATGGGCAACTAACATTAACAAAATTACATTCATACATACGCATACACAGATTCTAAGGAACTCAGAGTGAGACAGAGAGAGAGAGAGTGTGTGTATGTATGTGTGTGTGTAAGAAAGAGAGAGAGAGAGAGAATAGAAACTTAGTCGATAATCGTCCTTAGGGTGAACCAGATCTCTCTCACGTGTCTCCCATCATCTTGCACGCGGCCAAGTTCTTCATTTTTTTATATTTTCATCTTTTTTTTTTCAATATCCGATAAAGAAGAAAAAGAAAAAGAAGTAGCAGCAGCTAGAAGAAAGATTGGATATTATTTTAATTTTGTCCTCTTTTTTTTATCCCCCCCATTCCTTGATTTTATTATTGTTGCGTGTGTGTATGTGAAGAACTTATAACATTTTTGAGGGTGGTTTTGTTGTTGGTTGGTGATTGTTCTCTCGTTGGATCGAGAGTTTTTTTTTTTTTAATAAAATAAGTGAATCTAAGGAAGAGGATGATACATGTCGATGAAACTGATCCTGTTGGTGGTAAGATTATTCTTTTTCTTTTTTTCATTTAATAATTCTTTTATTTTAATTTTTTAATGAACCCCATTTTTGTTTATCAAACAAGTTGCGTTAAAGTTTTGTTCAATATGTTATTTCATTTATTTTTACGTGTTTATATTTGTTATATTTTGTTAATAAAATTCAAATATTATATAACAATTTGAAAATGGCGGGAAAGAAAGGAACCTTTCAATTTTACATACACACACACTTACATGTGAAAAATGTGAATTATTTTCAGAATTGGAACCCAGTTTCCCGTACAGGGACGTTAGAGTACGTCGAGGAATTGAATTTAATGAACAATATGACATCCAATCAGAAATTGGTCGGTAAGTTTAAATGAAATTAATTTCATCACAGAGTTATAATCATAATCATTATTTATCTTGTCAAGAAAATATTATGCCAAGGATCAATTTTGATACTTGAATTCATTTTTAATCATCACGAATGATCATTGAACAAACTCGTGAGCTTACACACACACACACACTGCTCTAAATAATTTATAAACAAACACAAACACATTCTTCAAATAATTATTTCAATATTAAATTAAATTGATATATATATATAGTTTTATTTTTCAAAATAATTTTGCATAACAAAATATAAGTGATTAATATTAATTATTTTCAACATTTTCATTTAATTGTTTTTCATCATATATATATATATATATGCAAAACATAAATTATAATATACGCGAATAAATTTATTATTGCAACTAAATTTAAAATGATTTAACGTTGCAGAAAATTCATGGTATGCTTTTGTATAGACAGATGGGACTTGAAAAAAAATATAGTGATAGTATATGTGTATACACACACTTATACATTTATAGTATACATGCATATACCTAAAAGTAACATTTGTGCAATCAATCCGTATTTGTATTCACGGTGCGTGCTTTCTTCGTACCGAGCCTACACAACTGTTTTATTGAATTATTTTTAAAATAACATATAAGAGATAGTATAAGCATACGAGATGGTAGTGGTGGAGGTGGTAGTGGTGGACAAAATTTGATCGAAATATTTCCTTGGGGGAAATTTTTCGGCATGATGCATGCATGCAAAAATATTATACACATGTGAAAGAAAGAGAAAGGGAAGAATATTTACATTTATATGTATACATAGGAAAGTTATACAAGAACCGGAAGTGTTCGTTTACGATCCATGTTTTAAACAGCTTGCTCGAGTTCAATAAGAAATTCTATTTTCTCATACATTAACAATTATTTCTTTTTATGATCCAATAATCAACATCATTTAAATATCAAATATACTCCTATATGTGTGTGTTGAATGTATGCACATAAATTAAATTTATTGAAATTACATTTTATACATTTTTTATAGAATAATTCAACTTATAAAATAGCAATGAAAAATATAATTTTTAATATTATTGGATAGTTAATTAAAAAATACAATTAGAAATAAAATTGATTGGAAAAAAAATCGATCTTGAATGATCTATGGATCATTGCCAAAGATTTTGAATGTCAATGACAAACTATTATCGAAAGGTTTAAAAAAAAACACAACTACATACACATGTTTAGATGCAATACAAAGCAAAATAATATTGTTTGAAGTATTGTTTTTTTATTTTTTAATGTATTATTATATTTTTAATTTATCTTTGAGATCTTTTCTTGATTAATTTTCATTACGAATTTAATTGTGGTCAAATGTGTTTGTAAAAAGGGTTGATTCGGTTCAACGACATTAATTATTATGTAATTGCTACGATGTTAGTCGAAAATAAATGAATTTTCGTCGTGTGTTTTTCATATATATATACACATATACAAGATCATACTTTGGCGAGGATCCATAGATCGTGACGAAGAATATCACATATTATTTTCTGTTTTTTACTAACCAGCATAAAAAATAATAATAAATTAAATCAAAAATAACAATTAAATATGAAATAAATTTTTTGAACGTTCTTTAACTTTACAAACAATTAATAAATTAATAATAAACGAAGCTATAATTAAAATGATTATTATAATAAAACATAAAATTCAATTAACACTGTTGAATTCTCTTGAAACAACTGACAATATCGATCAATAAATAAAATAAAAATGAAAATGATAATATTCTTTAAAAAAAAAAAGAAAAAATGAGAGACAGAAAAATAATGTCTGAAGAAAAAAGACAAGAACCTGAGGTGACAGTGTATTTTTTTTGTTAATAATTTTACTCTGTCAGATTGATTGGAATGAAAAGAAAAGAAAAAAGAAATAAAACCAAAAAACAACACACACACATACACACATGTATATATATAAAAGAAAGAAAAAGAATAAAATGAAGTGAAGAGCTAGGGTTGAGGGATTGAGGGGTTGAAGGGGAAGTAAAAAATGGTGGGAGGTTTGGAATGTGTGTTGGATTTGAAACGATAACGACAAAACGTTAAGCACACAAAACTCCTGGTGATTTTCTTCTTGTCTTCTCCTCTTTTCTTCTTACCACCATTTCCTCTTGTTCGGTAATCAAGGTCTCTCTCCTTGCTGTCCTATAAATAATGCGTTTTTCGTACACGACTTAGTGACGTATATATATATATATTTACATAGGTCGTGCGTCAACTCCCAACAACCGGCGTTGTTCAGAAGCGTCATTCCTGACACGCGGCTTTCTTCAAAGACCTAAATATAAAAGGGGTTATTGTTAGGGCTAGGGATTTAGTTTATAGGTTCCTCTCGTATTTTTTACAAAAATCTTTAAATACCAATTTGTTTTTTGTGTCTATTATTAGTCATCTATTTTATGTGTATTTTATTTTTTTGAAGAATCAATATTGAAAGAATTATGATTTCAATATGTTTGTAGTTTGGAACTTATTTATTTTGTTAGTCAAATGAAGGATTGCTATTTAATTTAAATGTATTGGAATATGGTTTAGTATGAGTTCATCTATTTAGATTACAATTTATTAATATTATTTTCAATTTAAATTAACCAGTAATATGATTTAATTATATAATAATACCACTATATTAAGTTGATTTATTATCTATTACTATTGATTTACTATAAGTTGGTTTATAATAATAATACTAATACTAGTAATAACTAAATAACTAACTAAACTACTAAACAACTAACTAATAAACAATTAAAATACTAGTATTAGTATTATATTTATAGTGTGCGTGTGTGTGTATAGTATTATATATTACATAGTATAGTAGCAGTATATTTTATAGTATAGTATTAGTATTTTTTATATAATTAGTTACTAATACTAGTATTAGTTCTATATAAAATTAGTTCATTATAAAATGAACAATATTTGAATAATATACAAATAAAACTATGACAAGACAATTAATATCTTTCAACATACACATTATTAAACCTAGAACTGATTAGTTCATCATTGTATTATAATAAATGAAATTAGTGATAATAGGATGTTAAAGAATTAAAGATTTTAACTCGTGGAAAGGATGTAACAAGAATTGGGGTTCATTCAGAATTTTCTTTAGGTCTTTAGTTGTGTTGTGTGCATTGGTAAATCATGTCAGAGAAAACACATACTATGATGATTCCTTGAGCCGACCCTGGCGCCTCGGATATGCTCTACTAACTCACTGACTCACTAACTTGGCTTCGTGACAAGGAAAGAGACTACCGTCTTCTTAGATATTACACCATCATTCTTTGTATCTTTCCTTTTCTCTCTCTCTCTCTCTCTCTCTCTTGTTAATGTCAAAATACCTTTTACCTACACCACTGGTGGGAAGGAGAAGTTTTGGCACTTCCTTTAGAACCCCCTATCTCCCTCACATCATTTGCTACGCACAATTCTTTTTATTATTTATTTTTTTTCTTGCTTTACTTATTATAACCATTGAAATAGAACAGAAAATCAATTTAGAAATTTATTGAAAGCTTTTATGAAATAAAAAAATATAACAAATGTTTAGTTGAATGAAAGAATCCAACTGGTTGGGTTCAAAGTTATAAATGAATATTTCTTTTTTTTTTTATAATAAATGTCTTTAAAATTATTTGGTTTGTTCAACAAAGTATTAGTATTGGAATAATACAATTGTTAAACAATTTGCTATTCAAAGTTAGATGAAATGTAAGATAGAATTGAAAGAGAAGAAAAAAAAGAAAGAAACTAAAATTATTTGAAATATTTACTTTGATTAATTATTAGAAGATGTTCCTGAGAAGAAGCTTTGGCACGACAACGATGACAGGAAGAGTATCGAAAATTTTCTGCATTCTATGCAAAATAACATGAATTCTTTCTCTCTCTCTCCCTCTCTCTCTCTCTCTTACTCTCTCTCGTCGAATTTCTGCTATGTCTGCTGTTAGAATCATTTAGGTGAAACAAATTACAATTTGGTGGTTTGCCATTAGATGATAATCTAGCTTGAATTATTACATTATAATATTTTCCATAAAATATTATTAAAAATGAATTTATCTTTGTTATATACACACTCATACTCAAAAGAAAATAAAACGAGGAACGTTGAATCAAATTAAAATGCATTAAAATAAAGATTGATAAGATGTTTATCAATGTTAATGATTTACATGAAAATGACAATGAATTTGTATAAATAATTTATTATAAATTATATTATTCATTATTTTATGAGTAATGTTAATGAATTTGTTAGATAAAAAATATATTTTGTGTTACAGAGGAAAATTTGGCACAGTTTATCGATGCAAGGAAAAAAAAACCGGCTTATCTTTGGCTGCTAAGGTGGTTAACGTATCCAAGAAGGAAGATCGTAGATCTGTCGAGAGGGAAGTTGATATTATGAGAAGACTACAACATCCACGATTGATTCAACTTTATGATGCTATCGACAATGGCAAACAAATTTATGTTATTTTGGAATTGTACGTTTTTATTTCTTCGAACGTGTGTGATCAACGATTTTATATAATCAATATACACCATACATACACATATAATACATGTCACACAAACATATATAACATGTTTAAATGTTTGAGAAAACATTCAATGAGATGAAACACGGTGATCCACAAAGCGTATTCAAATTTATTCAAGTAATCGTGTTTGTGCAAGGTATCCCAAAAACGGATGTGTTATCAAATTTGCAGAATCGAAGGTGGTGAACTTTTCGAAAGGGTTATCGACGATGATTTTTTATTAACCGAACGTAGTTGTGCCGTTTTCATGAGACAAATTTGCGAAGGGATTGAATTCATTCATGCTCAAAAGATTCTACATCTTGATTTAAAGGTAATTTATTTCAATACTAATAAAAACGTAGTAAAATACTTTAATGATAATTGCATTGATACAATTTCAATTGTTTTTTAATGTAAATTATAATGTTTGTTCATTTTTCTAGCCAGAAAATATTCTATGTTTGACAAAAGAAGGTAACAGAATAAAAATCATTGACTTTGGATTGGCCAGAGATTACGACCCTAATAAAAAACTTCAAGTATTGTTTGGTACACCGGAATTCGTAGCACCGGAAGTCGTTAATTTCGATCAGATTGGTTTTGGAACTGATATGTGGAGCATTGGTGTCATTTGTTATGTACTGTGAGCATGCAATTGATTTTACAAGTTCCTAAACCCTATTGAAATACAATTTAATCTTTCTAAAATATAATTGTGTTTACAGATTGTCAGGATTATCACCATTCATGGGAGACACGGATATTGAAACCATGGCTAATGTTACCATTGCTAAATATGATTTTGATCATGAAGCATTTACTGACATATCAGAAGATGCAAAAGACTTTATCAGGTGTCTATTAATCAAAGATAAAGAGTAGGTATACCTATCTATATATATATTTATACAAAATGTAATTACAAATATACAAGATTAGGGTTACCAAATTTTTTATGTGATTTTTTCAATATCAATTTTTGATCTTATGTTTGTTGTTAACTCTTCAGTTTGTTGAAAATCACATAATAAATTTTGGGCCCACGTCTCGTGTATTTTATAATTAACAGGAATTCGGATTCTCTAGAAATATTGATAACTATTTAGTTTATTTTAATAATAACTTCTATTGTGAGAACTTTTCTCATCTCTTTCTCTCTCTCTCTCTCTCTCTCTCTCTCTCTTTCTCTTATTTTTTCCTTTTTCTTTCTGAACACACAAAAAAACACGTTGTTTTATTCGAACGTTTGGAAAAGCTCATTTATTGCCTGTTGTTCACTTTCTTCAATCTCATTTGTTATTCGCATAAGAGAATCTGATATAATAAGAAAAAAATATACTAGGTGGGCCACTTATTTATGATTTTGTCATAAAAAAAAAGAAATACAATAAGTCATAAGGGAATGTTGATGTAATTAGTAATTTTGTCGTTGTTGTAATAAAAATTTCAATAATTTAATAATTTTTGCTTATGCTAATAATAGATCAAGCTTGTTTAATTAAATATTTGCATTTGATTATGGTAGAAATTAATCTAACAATTTAGAAAGAGTTGTAGAAAGTGAACGACGAGTGATGTAACAATTTAAAAAAAAGTTTTAATGTAAGATCATAAGTAATTAAAAACAAAATCTATTAAAATGAATATTGACACCCTGTATATATCTCATTTAAGTTCAATGAGAAATTGAATTCTGACGCCAGTTGATAAATTGTCTCTGTGTTGCTTTTCTCCACGTTTTGAACGAACAGCCTCTTCTCTACGTCATCACGCATTTCAAGTGATAAATTATCTAGAAGAAAAACACAAAAAAAAACAACTAGCTCAAGAGAGAAAGAGAGAGAAAATAAAAATGTAAGAGTTATAATTAAACAAAAAAAAAACAAGCATAAAACCAATTGACAAAGAAGTCCTGTTCAAATATTTTCAGAAAACGCGCAACGGCATCGGAATGTCGTGAACATCGTTGGTTGGCCAAACGGGATAATAATAATCCTTTGATCCTGGAAGAGAAAAAAGTCAAATTAAAGAAAGAACTATCGAATGATGAACAAATATTAACATCGTCCACTCAAATGGGAAAACAAATTAATGGGAAGGAAGAAAAATCATCATTGAAGGAAGAAGAAAACCTTGATTTAACAAAGGACAATTTGAGACTGTTCGTTGAACGTTGGAGAGAGCATCCTGATAGTCCATACATCATAGACACCATACAAAATGTATCTAAATTTAATACATGGAACGATATTGAAGAAACTGTATCGTTGCGTGCACAAAGTCCATCACCTAGGGAAAGTATTTGTAGTATGGGATCATCTGAAACCGAATTCAGTAATTCCCCATCGTTTTTGAATGTACCCAGTATTGGGTTAGCTTTAGAAAGAAGGGCTTCGGAAGGTACTGCAAGAAATAAATCACGTGATCAGGCTAGTCAAATAGTATTGGCTGAAGAGATCATTAAATTGTCAGAACATTTGCGTACCATTGCTGGTAGTGGTGGTATTGAAACTTCTAAAGAAACTGATGATAATTTTGGTTCTACTAGTATTATTGTAGATAATGATAAATCATTTGAAAGATCTACTAACAAACAATTGAAAAATAATCATGTCAAACGTATGATTTTGGAAACTAAAGAGTGTAATGAGATTACAGAAAAATTGTCAACATTAACTAGACAAAGAAAACTCAATGGGACTACTTTTCACAGTAATCGTAATTTGGAACGTTATAATAATTCGATAGACAATCATTCGATGAATATGTTTGCTTCGTTTAGAAGAAGAAAAGCTATAGAGGATAAAATGTTTTCTTTGAGTAAAAATAATTCGGAAGATAACAGTGTAAATGACGATAGTTCGAGTACTACAAGCAGTTCGATTAGAATTAAAGAGGATAATAAAACAAAAGCTATGAAATTAGATAAAAATAATGATATTGATTTAACACCACCATGGAGACGTAACAGGGTTAAACATTCCTTCGGTGAGACTAGCAGAGATGTACCTAGGATATCAAATTTACGTGATTTACATAAAAGTTTGAACTTAGATGAACCAGCCAATACGAAAGATTTATTGTTACATTTGTTAGGTGAATGGGAGGAAATTGGTAACAAAACTTCAACGTTAGGTAGAAAATCTGTTAGCATTGATTGGTGCGGTGAAGAATCTGTTGCTAGAAAAACTATGAACTCATTGGCAGAATATTTTCAATCGAAACAACAAAAGTCTACCGCCAGTAATGTTCCTGATGATTCACCGCCACCTATTTATCGTTAAAAATTCAAATCTAATTTAGATTTTTCAGGCTTGGATTTTATATTTTTGATGGACCTTCATCTACATTTGTAAAATCGCGACAACAGAATACGATTTTATATTGAATTAATTTTATTCTTACGCATTTTTTTTAGGTGAAGCCTAACTAAAAGGTTTTTTTAAAATGTGCTCCTACGAAAAAAATCTCTGACTTCGATTGAAATTTAATTATTTACGGTACAGGATTATTTTTTATTTCCTTTTTTAATTATTTTCAATAATTTCGAAAGAATTTTGTTCGTTATTGATTATTAAATTAATCAATTATCGATACACCTAACATTTTGTTTGTAATCTGTTAAAAATTCTTGCCAATTTGTTAACATCGTATTATACAGAAAAATACGAAGGCACGAATTTTCTTGAGGTTATTTGTAATATTGAAAAATATTATTGGAATTGGATTAAAGTTCCTCTTTTTCTGATTATTTTGTTGTATTTGTATTATTTATAATAACGAGAGAGAAAATATACTAACAGCATCGAATTATTGTTTAAAAGACAATTCGTCAAGTATTACTTTAAATTACTTGATGATATTTTATTAATTATCTCTTGACTATTGTTTATATAATATTTCTCTTCTTTGATAATTATTAAGAATTGTTGTATTGTAATTATAAATATTATGATGGAAAGATCTAGTCATTGTATTTATGTATGCATAATGAAATTATAATTGAATTATAAAAATTAACATAAGTTCGCTGTGAAAAAGATCAATAAATAATCTTAAATAAATGAAAAAGTCACGAATGATGCATGTGTAAATAATAATTATTGTGAATTGATTGTATGTCGTCGTGTATTATATGTAAATGTTAATGATAAATATTTTTGATGAGTCAATTATTATAAAAAATGATTAAGAGAGATGAACAATATTGTAAGAGAGAGGTGAGAAAAAGAATGCAACGTTAATATTTGTTATATGCAATATTTCTTTTCAATAATTAATATTCAAATATATAACGAAAAGTGCAACAACAAATTAAATCTATTTATCTTGTCTTAATTAATTTATTAGAAATTTATTTATGAAATTGTTAAGTATGATAAATTCATTTAATTAATTTACTTTTTGTTTTTCAATCCTACAGAGGAAGACCAACAGCAGGACAACTTTTAGAACACCGTTGGCTCGAAGTTGCATTGGAAAATCCAATTTGTAAAAAACGATTGAAACGATATGTAATTAAAAAACGTTGGATTAAGGCCGTTAATACGATATTAGCGTTAAAAAGAATGGGTGCAAATTTCGACTTAGATCTTGTCTAAAAAAAACGATTATTTCATTTCATTTATTTTTAATTAAAACGAGGAACAAAATAATATCTTCCAACTCAATATCGTAAGCAAGTATTAGATATATTTTTATTTTATAGTATGAAATAATTTATTAGTTTATTAAGATTCTTTTGGTTTTGTTTTATGGGAGAAGGTTTCAAGAAGAGAACCATTTGAAATGAATAATTAAGAAATAAAATTGTATACATTTCAAATGGTTGTGTTTTAATGTACTATTTAAATCAATTTTGTTCTAGTGATTATTTAAGTTTTGTGATTTATGTCGCAGTTGTAGTTAGTTAAAACGATATTGGCACAGGAAAATAGTCATTAACAGGGTCCTAAGTAGTGGGGGGACAAGGTAAAACGAAGGTTTATGTTTTATGATTGATTTATGAATTTTCGTGGACGAGTTAGAAGTTTGTAAGATTATGTAAATATATTTATATATGTAGAATGCACCTGTTGTGTCTTTAAATAAATATTATTTTATTACTGTACAGTTGATGTGTGTGTGTATGTGTGTATGCGAAAATGAAAATGAACATTCTGCTAATTTCTTTCAACTATTGTCATGATCGATATCAAATATATTATTTATATATATAATTTTATTCTTATCTATTTTTAAATGATTACATGTAATTCGTATTTGAATTATGCCGCGGTATCGAAACTACTACGAGAAACAATAGTTAAAATAATGAAACACGTTTTGCAATTATTTTACAAAGTATAATAACGAAATGGACGATGTAAAATCCTATAATTATCTTACTCTTGATATTTTGCATTCGTCTCATTCTCTCCAAACTTAGTTTTTTGAAAGTTTCACTTTTAACACGTATGATCTGCACACATGATTTTTTATTTTTATTTCATTTAATATACTAAATATTATTCTAAAAATATGCATAAATTAATTACAAAATTAGAGTTCAATTTTTATCATTATTTATAAAAATATTTAATTTTCAAACATTTTTAAAAATGTTTTAATATTTACTTTTTTATAATTATTATAAAAATGAGCGCCTGTATGAATGCAACTCTCCAGAAACACTTTGAAAATGTTGCTTGCGAGCGCTATCTACTGAAACATAATTTTTTTGTACTCCAAACTGTTTATACACGCTTGTATGACAGGTTGCCTATTTTTCGGACAGAAAAAAATTCCGTTCCAGTAGATGGTGCTCGCAAGCAACATTTTCAAAGTGTGTCTGGAGGGTTGCATACGATCAGGCGTGAATCTTTATAATTAAATTAATAATTACAAATGAAAAGTACAAATAATATTATATAATAAATTATCCTCGAAACTTGTTTATTTGAAGGTTTCACTTCTAACTTGTATGATATGCACACGTTATTTTTTAATTTAAAAAATTTCTGTGTGGCGCGTCATATCTCGAAAAATAGTTTCGATTGCTGCGTTGAGATGGCAGCACAATACAGTTTTTCTGAGAAGAGACATTTAAAAAGTGCTTATAAAACTAATTAATAAATAATAATGGTTAGTAATTTTCTTTTCTTTTTTACTAAGAATTGTAAAATATAATTAAGTTAACTGCATTTAATATGAAATGAAGATCTTGCTGTTAATATGAAATATTTCTACTTATTCACTTTTTGTAATGTACAATATTTTTGTTGGTTAGGAATTATAAGTACAAAAAAAAAAAAATATGAATATATATTAAATATAAATGATTATCTACAGGAACAGTCTTTACAAAAGTGGACACCTTATGCGAAAGAGTACGATCCTTTAAAAGCTGGAAGTATTGATGGAACTGATACAGAACCACATGACAAAGCTGTAAGTCGTGCAATGCAAGCACATTATGAACCACCTCATGGCCTAAAATCTAAACCTGAAAGAACGCTGTTTGTTGCTAGATTTGGTCCAAAGATAACAGAACAAGATTTAAAAGATGTAAATATTTCATAGAATTTTATTAATGATATTAAAAAATGAAAGTTACTGTATAATGTATTATTACAGTACTTTTTTAGATATGGTGAAGTTTTATCGACTAAAATTATAGTTGATATAGTAACAGGTCATTCTCAAGGTTACGGTTTTGTTGAAATGAGAAGCGTTGATGAAGCACGCAGAGCTGTGAGACGTAGTACAGATGCTACGATTAAAGGACATCAAATTTTTGTAGATTTCGAATGTGGTCGTACTATGAAGGGTTGGAAACCAAGAAGATTAGGTATTGATATTTTCAAATGGTTTCTGTAATCATTTTTTTTACTAGTTAAGTGTATAGAAGTTTTTTGAAATGTTTGTGTATCATTTTAGGTGGTGGTTTTGGTGGTAAAAAAGAATCCGGTCAGTTACGATTTGGTGGAAAAGACAGACCTTTTAGAAAGTTGATTTTACCCAATATTATTAAACCATGACTTAGATTTGAATGATCTTTTCAAGAAAGCATAAATTTAGATACTTATCATAGTTAATTTGCAATATTTTGTATATATATATATTTTCTATATTTCTATTGAGATTATTATAATATAAATAATCTATATTTCAATCTTCTAGAAAAATTGAAAAGTAGATTTTACACACACAATTAATATTAAAATCTAATATTAAATTATTAAATACTATTATATTTATTTATTTTATAATGAAACTAATAATTGTAATATAAAAGAAATTGTGTTTTATCACTCAAACACTCAATATAAATTCTTAGTTTGTAATTTTGTTTATAATTAATTTTGGAAATTGTTAATTACTGTAACTTTTGATGAGAATTACTATGAGAAACCCTGATTTGAAATTATTATTTAATATGTAATTTAATATGAACAAAATGAATGTAAATCCAATTTGTAAAGTTGATATGAAGAATTTATATGGAAAGAAACGTTCGAGTTGGTTTCTCAACGTTGTCTGATCTTTCTTCGAAGCTTATACGAAACTTTATATTTCTGTACACGTACATTCAGTGCGCCCTCTCTCGTTCGTAGGTCTCACCATATAAGGAGGCACTCGTCGTGGACTTGAACGTTCATCAACACGTTCAAAGATTTCATGTTTCCAGACTGTATTTAAAATATCTTCATTTTATCAAAAATTTAGATATTTATCCCTACCATTCTTAGCAAACATATCAAATTTTCACCCTTTACATTACTTTCAATACACGTTTATATTTGAATCAAATTTTTACAGATTTCAATCTCACATTTGAAACTATTACTTTGATATTATATTTAATTTAACAATAAGTATTGATAAATGATCAGGGATTGAATTATGTAAATTTAGTAACATGTGGGAAGATACTAAATTTATATTTCGGTCTCATGGAATTAGAAAAAAATGCGTGCGATAAAGAGAGAGGTTTCTTTTAAATATTAGAAAGAACATTGCGGTGGAGTTTGAGTTAAATTATATAAGAGAAAATAAATAAAAAAAGAAGTTATAATTGAAAATTTGTTATCGAATCGAAAAATATTCTTTTCTTGTTATCTTAGAAGTTCATTTTTGATAGAGGAATTGTTTATTAATTAAAAATAGTTTGAATTTAAGAAATACTATAACAATTCTGAGAATGAAAACCAAACTGAGAATAAATTTAAACAAAATAAGGGTGTATCAGAAAACAGTAATCAAATACTTCTATTACGAATCAATTAAAAATAAAAATGATATTAACTCAAACTGAAATAAATCAATATTAGAATAAGATGGATCGATTTAAACAACAAATTTCTTTTCCAACAGAAATGCGGGGGCGAGAACATGTTACCAGAACAGAAAAAGAATATAAAAAATCACAGGTACACACAGCACACAGACATACATAAAAGTGTGTACAACACCAGGGTATAGCCCAATAGAGAGAGAGAGAAAGAGAGTGAGTCCAGTTTATTCGTTGGTAAAGAAAAGAACGTGTAACTACCATTAGACGAAAATAGGTATCGTCGGCCAGGATCGTATCACGCTCAAAACCCCACGGACGTAGATCTCCTTTCTATTAATAGTAACGAACGTGAAGTAAGGATCCAAAGAACAGAAACAGAAACAGAAGAAGAAGAAGAAGAACACATACAAGAATAAGAAGAAGAAAGAAATAAACTAGAAGAAGAAGAAGAAGAAGAAGAAGAAGAAGAAGAAGAAGAAGAAGAGAAGAAGGAGAAGAAGAAGAAGAAGAAGAAGAAGAAAAAGAAGAAGAAGAAGAAAAAGAAGAAGAAGAAAAAGAAGAAGAAGAAGAAAAAGAAGAAGAAGAAGAAGAAGAAGAAGAAGTTACAGGTTCCGAGGTAACCGTTGAAACTCATTCGTACTCAGAGACCGTTCTCAGACCGAACAGTCCGGAGTTGAGTTTCAGAGCCGCTCGAGCTGTTGTGCGGACTCGACATTCCATCGGTTAAAAAGCTTATCATCTCTTTTTAATTTCTCTCTCTTTTTTTTGTGTTTTTTTTCTTCTTTTCTTTGTTTTTCGGTTTTGCTGGATTTTCATATTTTCTCACACATTCGAGTCACTTTACTCTATCTTTATTTTTTTCTTGTGTGTGTGTGTGTGTGTGTATATTTCGTTTATAAAAGCTCCATCTCCATTACTTCAGCTACTGGGACTTCAAGCAGTCAACCCCGTTTTTGTGCACGTACACACACACCCATCCAATCTCAACCAATCAACACACGCCACTACTACTACTACTACTATCCGTCATACATTTCAAAAAATAAGAAAATATATATTTTTTACATTCACATCGATTTAATGTAAGTTACATTCAATATTTTTTTTACTTTCTTTCTCTTTTTGTTGATCTATTTATATATACAAGGTGTTGGTATTACATGCAATGAAATGACCTAATTTTGCTTTTTTTTTAGACACCTTGTGTATGTGTGTTTATCATAGTTTGTATTATTTCTACATTGTTTTTACATATATATTTAATTATGAAATAATTCATTAATATTTAACATGTTCAAGTAAAGTGGGAAAAATAGTTTTTAATTTTATTTAATAATAAAAAAGAACAAGAGAGAGTGAGAGAGGGTAATATATATATATGTAAAAAAAAACAAGTGGGTTAGAATAAAATTCCATCTGGTTGGAAAAGTAAACGTACCGTGTTTTATGTTTGAAATTCGTCAATCAAAAGTGCATTCCATGTCATATACTTTTAACAAATGTGAGATCAAAAAATGAAATCTATACAAAACTGCGCATAGTGATTTATAAATAAAAAAAAAAGAAAAAAACCATTTACGTTAAGGGCGTGTCGTTCAAAATTGTGCAACGGGAGAATCATTGTTTTTTTTTTTTTTTAATTATTTTTCGCAACGATTACGTAAATGACACGTAAATTGGAATCAAAAAATCATTTAACCCTCTTTTCAATTCCCACCCCTGCATATTTGTATATTTTAACAATTTTGTTGGATTCTGACAATATGCAATGGGGGTGTTTTGTTTCTAATCCAATATTTCTATGCATTTCTGTGCATTTCTTTTTGTCAAAAGTATAAATAAATAAATAATTTATTAGAGAGGGGGTTGTTATACAATTTTATAAATAAAATTTGTCGGTACGGGTTTGAAATAATTTTGCAAAATGAAGAAAAAAGATTTGGTTAGAAAAAATTTGGTGTAGGAGGAAAGATTGGGTGCAAAAAAGAAGAAGGGGTGTTAAATGGACGCCATATTGGATTAGAGTAGTATAAGAAGAATTAGGGGAGATAGAAAGAGAGAGAGAGAGAGAGAGTGAATTTCTAAAATTAGAACCACGAGGAAGAGAAGGGACCCGGCTCCTTATAGAGAGCTTGCGACGATGAGCTTGCGGCCAGGGTTAGCAAACTGTTAGTATATGTCTGTCTCTTTCTTACTCTTTCTCTTTTTCTCTCTCTCTTCTCTCTCTTCTCTCTCTCTCTCTCTGTCTGTCTGTCTGTCTCTTTTTCGCACTCTCTTCTTTCGGAATATCAAATTACGTTTAGGTCGGTGCATCGTTGACCCCATTTTGATTACTTTTTCGTTATATTCATTTATTTATTACATTTTCAAAATGCATTTTTGTTTTTTATCTTTTTATTTCAAGTTTAACAAAAAGTAGATATTTTTGTGTGTATGTGTGTGTGTATTTTTCAATCAATATTGGTTCTTTTAAAGTAATGCAATTTTCTTGTTGCAGTTCCTTAACCAACCGCAAACATGTCCGACGATGAGGAACAATACTCGTAAGTATTCAAAAATAATATATATAAAATATAATAGAAAATTATACGTAAAATGAAAGATTTGATTATCAAGAAATTTTTGTTTAAAATAATGATATTACTTATAGGATAATTTTAATTAATATTAGGTATATCAATTACATTTGTTGTTCAGTATTTTTGATATAATTTTGATTCATTTTTTAATTAATTACTCAATTATTTGACGAGAAAAGAAAAAAAACCATAAAGCATATGATGCAATCAAATTGAATATTAAAACATCGAATTAATTGCAACACCTAATAAAAGAAAAAGAAAAAAAAATCAAAGACAGAAGACTACAATTATAAAAGTAATCTAGAAAAGTCATTTTAAAATAAAAAAAGAATACTGTCATTGGTCAATAAGATAAGCCAATAATAAACGATTGTCTATGATCTTACAAAATGGCGTTGATAAAGATGAAAGAAAAGAAAAGTAAAGAAAGAAAAAGAAAAAAGTTTTGAAGGAGGATAACAAGAATTTGAAATAGGTCGTTAAAATGAATAATTGTCGTTTTAAAATGGGGGAAAAACATTTTGGCATGATATCTCGCGTCAACCGATATAATATATATATAACATAACCCTACTTTTCTTATACAAATAGCCCCTATTGAAAAATATTCCGAGGGTTATTCGAGGAAGAACCCTTCGAAGATTATAAGTGTCTTTACGAGCCTATCTCTCGACGATAATCGGGATCGGAATTTTGATGTCGTTGTCACACGTTAACAAAAAAAAAAAAAGAAAAGAAAAAGATATAAAGGAAAGAAAAAAAAAACACCACACATCTCTCACGTAAGATTAAACTCATCCCCTTTTGCACACACCTTCATCCTTTTTTATCTTTTTATTTTTTTTATCATCTATCGTCATCTCGTCGTTTCATGATCTCGTTTTTTTGTTATCGTCAAAATCAAACCAATGTTATTTTATTCACCATTTTTGTTTTATTTATATAAATTTATTGTAGAGTGAACAATGTTCCTTTTTCGTATTGTTTTATTCGTTTTTCTTAGAAGAATTTTAATTAATACGTTTATTTGTTTGTTATTATTGTTTAATTTGTTTATTCGTTAACGAGAGAGAAATATTTGACTATTCCCAAATTTCCTTTTTATTTGTTACACCCTATTTTCGTGTATGTTTTAATTCGATTGTGTTTTTTATTGTTTGGTTTTTTGATTTTGTTGAAATTTTGTCTATGATTGTTAAAAATAGAGGAACAAACGAAGTTCTGCAAAAGATTTTATTTATTTATTTTTTTTATTATGCGGGTAAAACTTAAAAAAAACGAACGATCAATTTCCATTAGATTTTCGTTGGACGTTTAGAATTGTGGTCGTAGAGCGTGTTGTAATTTATTTAAAATGCAATTTTCTTCACAGAATTACGATAATGCATCCTTTTTTATATTTTTTTTTTTCCATTATATTCCGATTTAATATTCATTTTATAGAAAAGGATTTTACACAAATAGTTTTGTTACTAAAGAAATCACATTTCATACAATCGTTAAAATAAACTTTAAAATAAAACAAGAAAAGAACCAATAGAATTGTAAAGTGTATAGGATTAATAAACAAACATAAATTTATAATTAAATAAAATAAAAGAAAAAAGAATATATCAAATACAAACATTGAATATCTATTTGCAATTCGAAAGAAATAAAAAAAAGAAAAATTCCAAAGGTAAATTTTAGGGTGTAGTAAAAATAACAAAACCTTGTTACACTAAAAAAAAAAAAGATAAAATAAAAATAGCAAAGTGAAAAAAAAATATTTTTTCCAAACCATTTATCTTAATTTTAATTTATTAACAATAGAAATAAAATAAAATAAAATCTAAACGCGCGAAAGAGAAAGATCTTGTTCTTCTTCTTCTTATTATTATTATTATTTTTGAACGAGTAAAAAAAAAAGTAAAAAAGGAAAGAAGAATCCCCTTGTGTTATCGTTTTAAACGAATCGAGATAAAAGCTTGAAAAATCGTGTCGTATCGTACAAATAGCATCTACTCCAAACCAACCCCAAGCATCAACCCCCCAACCCCAAACTCTTGATTGTGTAAAATACTATAGTCCAGTTTGTTCAAGCCAACCCAGTTTCTATTTTTTTCTTTTTTTTTTAATAAAAACGAACTGAGCCCCGTTTGCCACCCCCCAGCATTGCCACCCCTTGTACCAACAACTAACAACAATTCTTTTCCTTTTTTTCTGTTTCACAGCAGCGAGGAGGAGGTCGAGGAAGTGTAAGTTTTTTTTCCCTTCTTTGTTTTTTTTATTTCTTATTGTTGATTAATTCTATTATTTGTATTTTTTGTATTTTTGTTTTATATATATATATATATATATAAATTTTCCTTAACAATTTTTTTTTTATTATTAAATCATTTTTATGTAATATAAATAAAATTCACAAAAGAAAATTAACACGCACGTTTTTTTTCTCATTTTTCTCTTTTACAGGAAGTAAGTTCCAGTCATGGGTTCTACTTTAATTTCATGGTGCACCCATAGTAACGGTGTGCCATTTACTGCGATAGAAACAAATATTAATTTATTGGAATATAGGTTTTTTTTTGTTTTTTTTTTTTTTTTTTTCTTAGAAATCAAATAACTCGCGTAAAATTTTTTCAAAACGTATTTAGAATTGAAATAGAAGTTCAAATTTAATACAAAATAAAATTTGACTAACATCAGTGGGTAATAGAAATTAAAATTAATAATTTAAATATTTTTATCATATATAAAAAAATAATTGCAATAAATAAATGACAATAAATTACTAAACAATAGACCCATTGGCGTGAAATCAAAATTATTTTGGAATTATTTGTTAAGGAATGTGTCTGGTCTGTCAATAATTTTAAACAATTTCAAGAATTTTATTATGTGATATATATTATTGTTATTTATTTAATAATATATTTGTTGTTCAGTCTAACTCTGTTTGTTAAAAACAAGTCTATAGTTAAAGAAAATAGTTAACAATAGATCAATCTATTATTTGATTAGTATGATGCTAAAGAAAAGATCGCGATGAATCATCTGTCTAGAATTCGAGGTTAGAGTCCAAATTGAAATGGCGTTGGTGGGCAAAATATAATTCAAAAATAATTAAAGATTTATTTGACTAATCCAGTTACCTAAAGAATCAAATTATTTCATTGAAATAAAAGTAGATACGAATATTATTGTAAAATATTTTTGTTTAGTTTATTTTTCTGGAGTGAGGCCGAACACAATACAAGTTTGTTGTAAAGAAACATGTCGACTCAAAATAATGAAAATTTTAATGCTAAAGCTAATAAAACGTTTGTTGAACAGTTGAACGATCATTCTTGAAAATGGCGTTTAAAATTAGAGCAGACCAGCTCCCATCATCACGAAAATAGGGCGACCGGATGGCGCGTAGTTACTATTCCTGCATCTAAGCATATCATTCGTTTCTAAAAACAGATTTAGGTATAGTTTCTATCAGATTTTTTTTCTTTTTTCTTTTTTTATTACAATCCAACAATTCAGAAATTTTCAGAAATTTTCAAAAATTTTCAAAAATCTTTACAAATCGTACCCAACGTCGTACAAAAGTAAAAACATCAACAATAACATAAAAAAATATCTATTCCATTTTGATAAAAATCTGCTTTACCGATCGAGAAACAAAATGAAGAACAATCCCATTATCCTTGTTTCGTTCGACCCTACTTTCGTTTTGATAATTACAAATATTTCATAGAAAAAAAAAAATAATAAAAGCATGAGATGATTATTAGAACAATTTAGATTAACGTTGGATTACAAACAAAACAGAATTACGCGAATGAAAAGATTCAACACAAATGGCGGTGTTCCTTTAGAAGAAACGGACACCATTTTTCTTTTTAGATAGAAATTATTCTTTTTTTTTTTATTATCAATTCGGTATATGAACAAAAAAATAGTAATAATTTCTAAATAACTCTATCTTTCTATCTACTTATTTTCTTTCATATTTTATTGATCTAATCAAAAAACAAAAAAAAAACAAAAAATCTGTTAAAACCCGTATCACTCATTTCTATCTCTGTGTGTATCTCTTTCTCTCTCTCTTTCTTCTCTCTCTCTTTCTCTTTTTCACTTTTCCACCCGTTTCTCCACATACAACACACAAAACCAATGAACCAACCAACCAACCAACCAACCAACCTAAATGAACCAAAAATGAACCAACCAACTACCAATTACCACTACTACCATCATCATCGTCGAACGATCGACCAACGCGACCAATCCGCGTGTCATTGACCTTGAAAATTGAAAAATCAAAGGCAGCCGGAGAAGAAGATCGAGTAAGTTTATAAATTAATAGACAAGCGTATATAATTGCCACTTTTTAAATTTAATTTATACTCTTTTTTTCATTGTATATACATATATATGTGTGTGTAAATATATATATATATATGTATATATTGTTTTTTTTAATTTCTTTTTGGCAGCTATTGGCTAATTGTTCATATACGTTGTCGTGTTTTTTCACTTTTTTTTCCTGTTACCTAACCACAAATTTTTTGTATTTGTCTATTGTCGGATTACGCTAGTATATTTTCTATCATTTTTTTATTTTTCTAATTTCTCTGTTTCTTTCTCTTTCTATTCTATTTTTTTTTTATGTTATTGTCCGCTGAATCTTTCTTTCTTTCTTTCTCTATCTTTCTATTTCTTTTTTACGCTCTTTTTCTATTTGTTATAATGTTTAGTATTTTAATAATAATAATAATAATATTAATAATAATGATAAACGCTGATTACGCAATTATAAATGCTGCAACTACGCCCGCCATTATGCCGCTGCAATTTTATTTCTTTCATATTTATTTTTATTATATATATATATATGTATATGTATAAATCATTTTTATATTTTAATTTTTTTTTATTATTATTATAATTATTTTTCATTGATCATGTCTTCTTTCTCTCTCTCTCTCTCTCTCTTTCTTTCTCTTTCTATCTATCTCTTTCTCTTTCTCTTTCTCTTTCTCTTTCTCTTTCTCATATTTGTACATACAAATATATTTTTTCATTCACATTAATTATTCACCTATTCCAATATAACCCCTTCAATCAACCATACCCATCATCCCTTAAACGAAACGTGCCAATTATTTTTATATTTTTATTTTATTTTATTTTTCAAGTAACAGAAAAAATAATTCACACATTTATTTATATATATAATATTTTCTAATATTTTCTAAACTTTTGTAGAAATTTTTTATCTTCCAACAGGTTTTTGTCTTCGAAATGTTTTGCCAACCCTTTTAACAATTTCTTTTATTATCTTATTATCCATTTTTTACAAATCTTTTTCTTTCTACTTTTCTACCCTTCCCATCAACCCTTTTACTTCTATCATAATTTTTATTAATTATTTTTTATTAAAATATATTCGATATTTTTACTATTTTTTCTCAATCTATACGTAGATTCATCTACATGAAAACATACATGCATACATCATAAAAAAAAGACAAATAAAAAAATACAATCATTCAACCAACCAACCAATCAACCAACGAACCAACCAACCAACCAACCAACCAACCAACCAACCAACCAACCAACCAACCAACCAACCCTCCCATTAATTTATCATACGTTGGTCAGTTTGTTGTCAATTTTTTTCAAGCTGTGTCGCTGCTGTGTCGATGGTTTACACGAGATTACATTTCACCCATCCTTTTTTATGCAATTCCTTCCTTGACAAACAAACAAAACAAAATAAGAAGAAACAATAAGACAAAAAATCAAACCACTTTTTTGTTAAAAAATAAAATTTCATCTTATAAAACATACACACAAACACATACACATGTATTTCACATGACAAAAATTCACAGAAAGAACACACACACCAAAAATACTTTAAAACAAATTCTTACCTACGAAATAAAACCACAGATGAATAATTAAAAAAAAAACAAAAAAACAAAGAACAAGAAATTAAAGATCTTTTGTTTTTCACGCTTTTAATTACAACACAGACACTTACATACATAATACAAGTATACTTATTCCTACCTTAAAAAAAAACCAACAAAAGTATCTGTCTATCTCTCTCTCTCTCTATTTCTTTTTCTCTCTCTCTTTCTTTCTTACTTTCTGTAATTTCTTTTGTCTCTATTTTATTTCTAATTTTTTATATATATTTTTTTTATTATTATTAATTAATAATAAATATTGTCGTCCTCGTGCATTTGTTATTATTTGTTGAACGTGTATTCGCATATTCGTTTATATGTCGTATATGATTTTTTATTTCGTGTCCGTCTTCTCGCATTTATCGATTCGTGCCGAATTTAAATAAAAAAGAACTATAAAACAAAAAGAAATATAAAAGACAGCATTTTTGTTGTAATAAAAATGCTTTAAATATATATAAATATATATATATATATTTTTTTTTTATATATATATTCTAAATATATATATATATATATGTGAAACAGGTGTATGACAAAATAAAAAGCAAGAGACACGATAAATAAAAATACACTTATGAAAAGGAACAAACGAACGGACTATGGGGATTGGCACAATGCCTAAAGAAATAATATAATAATACCAACTACTAGACACAAAGAATATCTATTATATTACGCAATCACTATAACAGTTGACAAATGATCTTGTTTATCATTCCGTTTCCTATTTATCACATATACTTATGTCATTTTATTTTCGAACGATTTATATTTATCGGTTCGGGGCCTTCTTCTCTCTTCTTTATACTTTCAAAAAACTTTAATAAATAATATTAAAAAAACTAAAAAAATGTTTTGTTGAAAAAACCGTGGTCCGTTCGAATATCAAAAATCTCAAACAATAATAAATAAATATATTAATTAATTAAATACAGTAATTTAAACGATTGACGATGAAAATGTTGACGATTGGAATAGTTACAACAAATTTATTTAAAAAAGTGATTATGCCTATGGACAAAATTTCATCCCGGCTTATTATTGTTAATTGTATTCGTGCTTTTGCGCAAAAAAGAAAATTATATATATATATTATATACGAACAAATTTGTTGTACACACACACGCAAAGCAAATATACATTTTTATTGTATTAGTATACTATTGCATTTACGTACACGCGCACAATTATTATAATTTATCAAAAATTAATACGCGATTATGTTTAAAGATCTTTGTTAGTTTTTTTTATTTTTTTTTTATTTTATTATATACATACACATACACACATTTTTACCTATTGTTTTTTTTGTTCTTCTTTAGTAGTAGTGAAATATTAATCATTCTTTACTTTCTCTTTTTTATAGGGGTAGGGCGTCCCAAAAGTAAGTTGAAATCGCTCGAAGGTTGTTTTATTCTTATATATATACGTCAATAATCTTTCTTCAACCTCAACCCCCTCTTCAACCACCCACCCCCTCAACAAACAACCCTCTTCTACTATCTATCTTTTCTATCTATCTGTCTCTATGTGTTTTCTTTTTTTTTCGTTCGCTAAGTCTGACCAATAATTCCCACAGCAACAACCCCCAACTACGATTTGTTAATTTTTTTAATTGCAAAAAGAAGAAAAAAATTAAAGGGGCAGAGCAAATTTTCTTCAATGAAAACGCTTGGAACACAAATTGTCTTTTTTTTTATTTGCATCAATTATAGTTAATGCAATAATTAATTGTTTAATTAATTAATTAATTCTTGGCAGGAAAAGAAAAAAATATAAAATAGTGGAAGAGTTACTGCTTTTTTCTTTTTCTTTTTTTTGTGTGTTCGTCTCACGTTAAAACCTGGCACGAGCAAGTAGAGTATTCCTTCTTCATTCTGATTGGTCGAGTGCAATTGCATAACAAGCATATGCAACTAATTTAACTTGCGTCTGCTGGACACCTGCCAACAACTCCGATGTTACATGGTTGCATATGTGTCTTTTCTTTTTGTATGTATATATATTAATACTTATTGTTAGTATTATATACATACACATACATATATACTTATGTATTATATACTATACATGTAATAAGTTTATTTTTAAACCTTGAAAAATGCTCGAGTTTATATAAAAATTTAGAAAAGAACAAACAAATTAAATCCCGCCAAGAATTATATAAAAATGAAATGAAATGAAAAAAGAAAATTAGTCAATCCTATCAAACACTTTAGCCCTTTTTTTGTACCATAATTTTCTTCTTAGTCCCAAATTTTTGAGCATAGTTTTGTTTTTTTCTCTCAGTATACTTCTATTACGCAATTCAAACACACAATCCCGCCATATTTTCTTTTTCGTGTTCTTTTTAATCTATTTATTTATCTGTCTATCTTTTCTATCTGTCTATTTATCTATGTTTTTTTTCACATCTCTGATTTAATAATAATTATTGTACATTAACGGAGTGAGAACAAATTTCTTGTACATAATTTTCAACGTGTGTTTCAACGTATTATGTATTTATGTACACCATTTACAACCCTTCAATCCCAACCAACCCCTATCTCACTCACCCTCTTTTATCATCGTTTATAAATTATTGTAAATATGTTATGAACATTTTTTTTCGTACCATTCACGTTGTACACCTTTTTATTTTATTTTTATTTTTAAAAGAAAACAAATTCCTGGTGTTGTTGCATTGTTCGTTCCATCAAAATCATTCTATCCAATCAACACCCTTTATCCCTCACCCCCACCCTCAAACCAAATAATTCGTGGCGATTTTGAACACGCGGAGGGTGGTGTGTGTGTTTCCTCCCCATTACCCCCAGTGATTTATTTCTTTTCGCATAATATTTCACCAACATAATATTTTCATAAACAAGAAATTAATAAAAAGTAAACAAAAAAAACGTGCTTGCACGTTAATTTTTTTTTTTTTTAATTATTAATTTATAATTTTCTCATATACTTACTCTATTTCTTTCCTATATTTATTTCTATCTATTCACACATTTTTTTAATAAACAAATTGTCCGTCCGTTTCTGTCTATTTGTCCGTCTCTTTTTATTTTTTTTTTTTTAATTAAATTAAATTTCGTTAATTTTTTTTTGTCTCTCTCTCTGTTTCTGTCTATCTCTATCTCTTTTTTTAATTTATGTTTGTTTATTTGTCATTGTCAAAAGTGTCCGTCCGCCTGTACGTGTGTGAGTTGGTTTATCGTTTGAATGTATGTGTGCGCAAAATAAAAAATACAACTACAACAACAAAAAAAGCAAATACACGACATAAACAATTAACTTATTGTCGATGCGCAGCGAGAATGAATGATTATGGTGTATAATTACGAATTACGATGACGATGACGATGACGATGACGATGACGATGACAATGATGACGATGATGACGATGATTGAAAAGTGATGATGATGATGATGATGATGATGACGATGATAAGATGAAAATAAAAAAAAAATTATTATTGCGTAACGAAAGGATATCAAAAACAGAAAACTGTTAAAGTCTTTTTGCGAAAGACAGTCTGACCAACTGTTATATTTTTTTTTTTTAAATCAACTATCGGAGCAACGAGCTTTATTTTTCATTTTTTCCAAATAAGGATTATTTAAAACAAACGAGTCTTCTTATATTTTGTTTTCGTTCCGGCACCCTCCAGGGACTCCGCGGAGAATCCTGAGTTTATGAAGGTCAGTGCTACCCTAATTATTTATCTCATTTTTTTCTTTTTAAATATTAATTTATTTAATTTCAAGTGAAACTTGTATTTTTGGTTAATAATATATTTTTTTTGGTAATCAATTAAAAGTAAAGAAGAATTATATATATATATATATAGTATAAAATTGAATTGTTAATAAATAAAAATAATTACAGAGACAAGAACAGAAGAGAAGTGATCTAGATGAACAACTTAAGGAATACATCGCGGAATGGAGAAAACAAAGAGCCAAGGAAGAAGAGGAGCTCAAACGACTCAAGGTTTTTAAACTAACCTAACTTATCGTCCATATTTTTTTCTTTATATAACTGTTATCAATAGGTAAAATATAATAAAATAAACAAATATATAATAAAAAATTATATATATAATATATTATAAAAAAACCAAAATAATAATAATAATAATAATAATAATAATAAATATTGTTTAGGAAAAACAAGCTAAGCGCAAGATCACTCGCGCAGATGAAGAAAAAAGATTGGCTCAGAAGAAGAAGGAAGAGGAGGAACGTCGTCAACGTGAAATCGGTATATATATGCACACTTATATTATTTATTAGACAAATTAATTAATTAAAAAATGATCATAATGGGAGACTAATGATCTCTTAAAAAAAAAAACAATACCACTTTTCAATGTTGCTTCTGGCCATTTTATTTTCTTTTCAATCTCGTCTCATTCTTCTTTCTTTTGTAAAAAAAAAAATTGCACAGAGGAAAAGAAACAACGCGACATAGAAGAAAAGAGACGACGCCTCGAGGAGTCTGAAAAGAAACGTCAGGCTATGATGCAAGCAATGAAAGATCAAGCAAGCAAGAAAGGACCTAACTTTACCATTACCAAAAAGGACCTCGGGGTAAGTAAGTTCTCGATCATTTCGATCGAGACCTATTCTATCTACCATTTTCTTCTCTTTTTCTTTTTTTCTTACAAGAATAAAATATAAAATACAAAAATAATTATTTTATTAAATTAGCCAATAAATTTGGTACAGGTTGCTTCTCTTTCTCCAACTGAAACAAAAATTAGAGTTACATTATTTTAAAATACTGTTAAATTTTACTTTACCCTCTTGCTACTCAATCCGAGCATTGCATTATCCCCACTACGATTATTCAGCTATTTAAACGTTGTAAAACAATTTTCAAGATGGTGGTCAGTAATGGAGGAAAGGGAACTCTCTTAGGATTGCAAGAAACGAATGATTTACAATTGTTTTTAATTATATTTCTACAACTGCATAGATTTATTGGCTAAATTAATAAAATAATAAAATTAATTTGTGTTTTGTTATCAATTAATTCACTTAGGTAGGCCATTTTTATGAATTATTTAATAGATTTTCATTTTGCGAATTAGGGTAATCTTTCATCCGCCCAATTGGAACGTAACAAGACGAAGGAACAACTTGAAGAAGAGAAAAAGATATCTCTGAGTATTCGTATAAAACCATTAGAAATTGAGGGTCTGTCAATCGATAAATTACGTTTCAAGGCCACCGAATTATGGGAATCTATCGTTAAATTAGAAACCGAGAAGTACGATCTTGAGGAGAGACAAAAACGTCAGGATTACGATGTGAGTTTCTGCATATTTTTTATCAACCTTCAAATACTCGATCTAATTTTATCTTAACGATTCGACCCTAACAAAAAATTTTACCTCAAGGAAAAAAAGTAATCGATTTTTAATTAACCTAAAAACTTGTTCCTTGTCATTCTGTAAAAAATCAAACGTTAAAATTAAAATTTGAAGGTTTAAATATATATTCAAAATAATACTTAATTATATTCCTTATTTTGATGATGATGATGATGATGATGAATGATGATGATGATGATGATGATGATGATGATGATGATGATGACTCCAAGATGGTGACCCTTTGAAATTCTTCATTGCAGCTTAAAGAGTTGAAGGAACGTCAGAAACAACAGTTGAGGCACAAGGCTCTGAAGAAAGGACTCGATCCTGAAGCTCTCACTGGCAAATATCCTGTAAGTAAAAAAAACAAAATATATTAGTAAATGCTCCTTCCCAGGTTATACAAAATGCATGATTATTTATAAACAAAAAAAAACAATTTTAATTTACAGCCGAAGATCCAAGTTGCATCGAAATACGAACGTCGTGTTGATACCAGGTCCTACGATGACAAAAAGAAATTATTCGAGGGTGTAAGTATTACTCTTTCATTTTATCTTTTTTTTACCCTGTAACCTTTTAAGGGTTGTTAAGAATAAAAACAAATTTTTTCGAACGGTGCTGTAAATGAAAAAAAAATAAAAAAAAGGGGGAATAAAAAAATACAGGGTGTTGTTGCGTTTAAAGTTTACATACGAAGAATTGAAGAAATGAAAACCATTAGAAAAAAAATACACACACATATATATACACATGTCCAATTGGAAAACAAAGAAGATGTTTTTTGTCAGTGAGAATTGTTGGAATTGTAATCGCAGGGCTATGACACGCTTTTAGCGGAGTACAACGAGAAACTGTGGAAACAGAAAACAGAACTGTTCATGAAGCGCAACAAAAGTGAGTTGGATTCGATCGTATCTTCTCTATAAGTGTACCAGTTCTATTTGACCAGCACCCTTAAAGTCCCAGACCAACTTTTTGTCGCTTGAATTTTTTGAATGCACTTCGTAAAACCCTTTTGATACAACTCGTTGATAATGTTGACCAAACCCTACCCCTCTAAGTATTTTTGTTCTCTCGTAAGTTTGACTAAACTATCGAGCTGAACCTTCATAAATTATTACAATTATTATTATTATTATTTGATATTAATATTATTCTATTTTATTTTGTAATGTTCAATGAAGACAAATTTCAACTTAAGAATCCATCCACGTACTTTTAGCACGGAACACAGTGTTCGTGTTTAATTCCAAAAAACTTTGAAGGAATAATTTTGATAAAACTTTATTGCAAATACCAACACAAGAAAGTCTATGGTTGGAATTGTCCCTGTTCGTTTAATTGAGTATATAGTTTGAAGATTTTTTTTTGTTGGGTTTTATTGTAAATTAAGTTGGTATACGTATTTTAATTTTGGTAATCAATGTCTTAACTTTTTGTAATTGGCAAAGCAACATTTGCCTCATTTCTAAACAAAACCCTCCAACCAACCCCCTTTTTCTTGTCACCAACGAACTACGCCCTCTCAACGCCAAGAAGAACAGAAAATGAAAAAAAGAAACATTCCAGAGAATATTATATTTCTATCTCTGAGTATAAATGAACCAGGCGTTGTTCTCGTTTAGATGTGTGTTCTGTAAAACTGTATCCCTGCATGCCATTTGTGTCCATTAATGTTACAGGGTCTGACCGAACAGCAAAAGGAAATCATGGAAAAACAATGGGCCCAACAAAAAGAACAGTTCCTTGGTCGTCAAAAGAGTATGTATTCAATAATTATCCTTAAATTCTTCCAATATATTCAATATTTTCTTTTTTTTTCTGTACCAATTTGTGTAGGATCGATTACGTGATCGATTAATTAAAATTAATTCGATTTAATTGGATGTATTATGAAGAATTTAAGGAACGACAAATGACTGATCGGTTGGCCATTTTGATTTTTTTCTTCGTCCAAAAAATGGCGGACTAGTCAGCCATATTGGTTTATTTCACTAGATGACCAATTACTTTTTTGAAGTAGTAGTTTAAGTAGTTTTTCTGATGAAAAAAATATGAAAAATAATGCAAAAAAATATATTAAATAAAATAATACAAAAATACTATAGCGAAATTGCCGAAATGGTTCGGCGAGAGGCCCGGAAAGAAAGCTGGCGATCCAGAATCACCTGAAGGCGAGGAAGACGTTAAAGCTGCAGCCGATGATGACCTGGAGGAACCACAATTCGATGAAGAAGAAGAAGAAGAGGAGGAGGAGGAAGGTGAGGAGAAGGAAGAAGGTGAGGAAGAGGAAGAGGAAGAGGAGGAAGAGGAGGAAGAAGAAGAGGAAGAAGAGGAGGAGGAAGAGGAAGAAGAATAAAAATTGCTGTTCGGGAGCTATTATTATTATTATTATTATTATTATTATTATTATTATTATTATTATTATTAATTAATTAATTATTATTATTTTAATTATTATTAATTATTATAATTATTATAATTATTATTATTAATATAATTACGATTATTATTATTATTATTATTATTATTATTATTATTGACCACGAGGACCTAATCTTAAAAAAAGAGAATTAAACCAAAAAAAGAGAAAAAAGAGGAAAAAAGAAGAACTAAATAAAATAAATGAAAAGAGTAAAAACTAAAGATGATAAAAAGAAAAAGTAATCTATGTACTCTAAAAATGGGRGCCTTGAAGAGAGTGTTGTGTGTGTGTGTGCGTATGTTAATAATTTTCACATACGCGCGCTCGTATATGAACAATTTATTATTTAACATTGAAATTAAAACTGCTGCAACGCCTTGAAAAGTTTAACAAATTATATCTCAAAAAAACAAATTTGTTCTACACCTTTATATGAGGAATTATTTTTCGATTGATCCTTGTATATTAATAAACACGCACACAGGTCTACTTACAAGTATGGTACGCATACTTTTTTTTTATTATTGAACATACAAAACTACACCCCCTAAGAACTTTTTAAGTTATACGAGTAGAACAACGACGACGTTGCTGGGTTCATCGATTTCACACAAATAACTATACTTTCAATAACGATCGATAAAGTCATTTTCTTCTTGGGTGTTAAAGAAAGAAACACAAAGAAAAATGATCATTCGTATCGTCTATCAATTTATTTCTTATTGTATTTTGACACATTGACAATATTTATTTATTCTCGTTATTTATTCAATTTATCTCCAACGAAAGTAATACAAAAAAAAAGGGAAACAAATCTTTTCGAATTAATCTTCTCGCAAGGTTCTCGTCTTCTACGAAATTCCATTATGATAAAAGAAAAAGAAAACAAAAAAGACACTTTTAAATATTCATTTTGAAACCCAAGTTTTAAAAATTCATAATCGAATCTAAAGAAATAATTCAAATAAAAATAACAATAATTATGAAAATATGATGAAGAAAAAAAATAATTAAAAATACGAATGTTTTATGAAACAAAAAAAAAATAAAGAATTTTAAATGGAAACATCGGAACTGGTTGCATCAACACAAAAACTGTATAATCCGGATTTTTCGTTTTTCGTGTATATTTGAGGAAATACGAGAAGTAGATAGCGGAAAAGAGAGAGAGAGAGAGAGAGAGAGAGAAAAACCCAGTGAGAGGTCATACGTGAGTATTTCATGACGAAGGGAAAAAAAATCATAACGGTAGCACTTTTCTTTCCTTTCCCCCTTTTTTTCCAACTCCCTCACTCTCTTTTCCCTCTTTTTTTTTTATTTCAATGTGCGGCCCCAGAGGTTTCTAAACAGGCTCACTTGACCCCGACCTTTTACTCGAGTATTCTCTCTTCTATTACGAGTGTGCTCCGATGTTGTAGCTCGAAAATAACCGAGCGAGCCACAGCAACCGCTTCTTTATAACGATTTTTCTTCTCCTCTTTCTCTCTCTCTCTTCTTTCTTTCTTTTTTTTCCTTTTCTTTTTCTTTTGTATCCTTTTATTTCTACGATCGATATCATCCAACGTTTATATTCTCATTCTGTCTCGTACAATTTTTATATATTACTAAAGTAAATCAAATCTAATATGATAGTACATTGGATAGTACAACAAACAACAAAATAAAACTAGGTTTATTCAAATACAAAAAAAAGAAAAAGGGAAAGAAGAAAAACGTGATATTAAACTTTGATAATAAATTGATCAATATATCTATATATGTTGATATTCTATTCCTAATGGTTTTCAATTTAATTATTGATCTATATAAGGATTCCAAAGGTACCTAATCAAATATATATATATATATA